CCCAGCTACACGCTCAGGTTCTTGTGGGCCCTCGTATGCAGCCTTCCGGAGTCCCTTGTGGCTCAAGCCACGCGTGCAGTCGTCCGTGAGTTCATCGACCGACAGTGAAGCACCGTGGGGAAATGTGGAACTCCACCGCCTGGTCGCAGGGGCCAGGCGGGGTCACCAGCAAGATTGGTGCGAAGGCCGAGACCGTGACAGCGACTGGGGCCGCCGGCGCCGCGACTCACCTTCGTCGTCTGCTTCCAGGTCGGCCAGCCGCCAGGACAGCCAGCGCGGGGGCCGCTCAGATAAGGCAACCTCGGTGAAGCGGGCCCAGGAGAAGCCCTGCGAGATCGATCCGAAGTACCGGGCGTCGGTCGACAAGGAACGCCAGGAGGAGGAGGAGGAGGAGGAGGAGGAGGAGGAGCGCTGCGCCAAGCAGGGCGCGGCGCTGGCCCGCCTCTTGGGCCAGAAGCTCGACTCGCTCGTCGAGGGGCAGCAGAGGGCGGGCAGCGCGGCCAGCAGTGGCCCTCGCGGCTCCGCCGCCCCCCTCCAGCCGCCAGCCAGCGAAGCGACCGCCCTCTCGCTCGCGGCGCCCCAGCAAATCGCCGACGCAGTCACCGCGAGAATCGGGGCCAAGAGCCGCGAGGACGACGAGCCCGATGGCGCGGAGACGCCCTCAGCGGCGCTCACGACTGCACGAGCGGAGCGGTTGCACTCGGCGTTCTGCGGCCCAAAGGTAAAGAAGCCGCTTGTCCTGCCGAACAAGAACGTGTCCCCCGTCACGGACGAGATCAAGAATCGCGTCAAGGACCGCCCCATTCAACCTCAAGGTCAGCGACGTCTACAAGAAACACATCGGGACCGCGCCGCCGCCCGACGTGGCCAAGAGGGCACAATCACTGGTGGAGTGGGTGGCCCTCAACTGAGAAGAGGCCCTTGGGGCCTACCCTGACTCCGCCGAACGTGGGCATCCCGGACCAGACCTGGGGAATGTGAATTCTGGGCTCTGTGGCCGCGGGCAATCACAGCGCACTCTACATCGTCTTCGGGGTTGGCTATGTCACGGGATGCGTGTGCCCAATCCCCATGTCAGAGCGGTAAAAAACTGGGGGGACCTCAACGCATGGCGACGATCAGCCTGGGCCGAGGTGGAGCAGGGTGCATACATGGGTATCAATATGCTGAAATCGTTCACCCAGCTGGACGACGTGAGCCTTCCGGCTTTGGAAAATCAGGCGATGCCCACAGCCACTCTGTCACTGCCAAAATTGTGTTGGCTGGGGAGCGCGGCCCTGTCACGGGTCCGCTGGCGGCGAGGCTGTCCAGAATAGGAGCCAGCGCCAATGTTCCTATGTCTGCCGATGCCTTAAGATACGAAACGGGCCACATCCGTATCATACACCGCGCCCGTGCCTTAGGGTACGAATGTTCGCCACATTCGTATCTTCAACATGCGCCAACATGGCCCCCACACAATTGAATTATTCCGTTATCCACGTTCGCAACTGTTTGTGCAAGCGTTGCGTGGGGAGCAGTCCCCGGTTAGCAGTGCCTTCAGCGTTTGCCGGCACAAACGCTGTGCCGATAAATCCGCAACCACGCCCTGCAGCAGCCACGCCAGCTGCAGCGGGGATAAGCTCCTTATCCCCGCTTCGACCCGCAGACTCTTTAGAGCGGCAGGAAGGGGACAGGAACGCGGTCGGGGGAGTGAGGAACCACGGGGATTCCTGAAATTGTCGTGGCTGTGATAACCAGCCGCCCTTCCGCCCCAGCAGCCAGCCGTCTGGAGCGTGGGGCCAACGGGCAATGCCATAGGAGCTTTCATATCGTGTTGCAGCGATGTGCAGCATGAGCGGCCGCACGGGTGCCGCAGTGCGTTGATGCGGCACGGACTGGTTTCATAATGTTCTGGGAAGCGTCTTCCGGAACATTCTGAGCGCACTTTCTGGCAGGTAGAAGTTACAGCAGCTGCTTCTCATTTAATCTTCCTCCCTTACCTGCAATCCTCGTCATCAGCATCCTCATCGTCGTATTCCTCCCCCGCAGGCGTGGTAGGGCAGCAGATTGAAAGTTCGGCAGCGCTCACATCAGCAGCGGGCCTTCGTCAGCAGTGGCTTGTGGTTTCGGCATAGGGGTTGTGCCGACCAAACCGTATGTATGACCTGGAACAAGCATATTGCCCCTCCCTCATAATTGCCAGCTTCCTTCCTTCCACTCGTTTGCACGGCCATCGCATGTACCTCCGCCAGCTTGTTCTGGGGCTTCCGAGGGCCACTTGTTGGGGTCATTGGTCGTTGAGCTCCGGCGCCTGGGGTGAAAGCAGCATTCAAAGCTCGCCAGGGGGCACCACCACCAGGGCCAGGCAAGGAGTCCCGCCATCGCAGCAGCACGTTCTCCTGTCGTTCTCCTGTACGCAGGGCTTGTTTCACTTCCTTTCCCATGTGGGGACCAGCGGACGCATGACAGCGGGACCGTCTCTCCTGCTGGAGCAAGGTCCGGCAGTTCCCCTCTGGGGACTTGGAGGGTATCATCTTCGTCTTCTTCGCCTCAGGCGTGGCGGATCAGACCAGCCCGGGGGTTAGACCTGGGCGCTCAAGCAGGGGGGAGCCCTTGCGCACACGCGTGGCTGGAGGTGAATTGGTGGTTGGGGAAATCGCCTTAAACATTCATCATCATTATCATCATCATCACCACCATGACCACCACCACCATCATCGTCGTCGCCGACGTCGTCGTCGTCGTCGTCGTCGTCGTCGTCGTCATCATCATCATCATCATCATCATCATCAGCATCATCAGCATCATCATCATCATCCTCATCATCATCCTCATCCTCATGATCATGATCATGATCATGATCATCATCAGCATCAGCATCATCGTCATCGTCATCATCATCATCCTCATCTTTATCCTCATCATCATCCTCATCTTCATCATCAACAACATCATCATCATCCTCATCCTCATCAACATCATCGTCATCATCTTCAGCATCAGCATCGTCGTCACTAGTATCATCGCCACCGTCGTCATCATCATCATCATCAGCATCATCATCATCATCATCATCATCATCATCATCACCATCAACATCACCACCATCATCATCACTATCCCTTCTTTATGCTCCCTTCCTCGTGCTTCCCCCTTCCCCATCCTCAGCACCCCTCCCCTTCCCCTGATGGTGCTTGGTGTTTGGGATGTGGTGTTTGGCGTTTGGTGTTTGGGATTTGGAGGTTGGTGTGTTGCCGTTCAGAGTTTGGTGCATGGGGTAGGTTGTATGGTGTATGGTGCATTGTGTTTGGTGTTCGGAGTTTGGGGTTTGGGATTTGGTCTTCGGGGTTTGGGTTTTGATGTATAGAGCACGTAGGTTGTATGGTGTGTGTTTGGGGGTTAGTGTTTGGGATTCGGTGTTTGGTTGGTGTTTGGTGTTTGAGGTTTGAGGTTTGGGGTGCGGAGTTTGGGGTTTGGTATTTGGGGGTTGGTGTTTTGGGTTTGTTGTTTGGTGTTTTGGGTTTGGTGTTCGATGTTTTGGTTTTGGTGCTTGGTGGTGTTCGGTGTTTTGGGTGCGTGCGTGGTGCTCTGGGGGGCTTGTACAGCCCAGCTCTGCTGGGGCAAAACCAGATACACCGGGGTATAGCCAATCCAGCCGGGGTATAGACTTCAGCCCCCGGCAGCCAGCCCCCCCCCCCTGGCAGCCGAGCCCCCCCCCCCCGGCAGCCAGCCCCCCCCCCGGCAGCCGAGGCCCCTGGCAGCCACCCGCCCCCGGCAGCCGAGCCCCCCCCCCGCCGGCAGCCGAGGCCACCCCAGGAGAGGGGCGGGGTGCAGCCGGGGCCTGCTCTTTGGCAGCCCCGGCGCCCGAGAGCGGCCTCCACCACCGAGCGCGAAAGTGCCCATACTCGCAAACGCCCGACCAGAACACGAACTCCTGGGTGTAACGCATCGTGAACCTCCCGCGGCGGATCGAGGCCATTTGCGAGCAGTTTCTCTGCGAGTATGGAGGGGCCCCAGGACACACAAATAAATCTAGGGCTCCCAACTTCGCGCTTCGCGCTGCGCGAAGCGCGAAGCGCGAATAACTTCGCGCTCTCGCGCCGCTCTCCCAAAGGGAGAATAGGAGGACGAGGAGGAGGGGGAGAAGGAACGAGGACCGCGAAGCGCGAAGCGCGAATAACTTCGCACCCTCGTGGGAGCCCTTGTAAATACACACAAATACAATGATTCCCCATATTGTCCAATATTTTTTGAGTGTTTGTCTTCCCCCCCACTTCCCATATTTTCCAATATTTTCCTGGGAGTGGACGATGTCTGTGTTTTTTCCCCTCCTGAGAGTAGTGGACCGCGCTTGCCTACTCCAGCTGAAGCCGAATCTGGCAGCACAGGCAGAGGAGGGAGGCGACGGCGACGGCGGCGACGACGGCGGCGGCGAGGCACCTCGCTGCCACGGCTGCTGCGGCTGCCACGGCGGGGGCCCATTCAGGAGGGCCCCTGGAGGCCGAAAACAGCCAAAAGCTGGCCGCTCCAATCTTTCTGGAGCCTCGGATCTCTGGGTTCGGGGGCGCGCAAACATGGATTGGCGATCCATGGATTTGGCGCGCGGCCGCCAAACCCATGGATCGGGGGAGGTGCCTCCCCCAAAATGCGGCTAGTGCCGCCTCGCTCGGCGGCAGAAATCAGCGATTTCCCATGGAAACGGGACCCGTCGCTCATCCACGTTCTCTTGATCAATATTTGCGATCGCCTGATGGGTCCCTGTCTCCCTCCCTTGAGCAGGGACCGACCGTCCCGGCATTCCTATAGGCCTACCACGAACTGTTCTTAGAACCCAAAAATGTTGCAAAACCCGATATGGTAGAAAAAGACAGTCCCCGCCAGAAATGATCTAAGAACATGTCGTGGAAACCACAAAAGGTTCTTAGAACATTGCTTGCTAGGCCCATGGGCGAGCTAGGACGCTTCGCCACTGCTTGACTCCCGCCCTCCCCCCCTCGCCCTGCCGCGGGGCGGCCGGCCTGGCAGATCTCGGGGCTGAGGTAGTACGGCGTGCCGATCTGCGTCTGCGCGCAGGCCGCGGTGCACTCGAGAACCTCGCGGGGTGCGGCCGCCGCGGCTGGCACCATCCTTTGGTGATGAGCCTCGTTCTGACGAGACACCCCCCCGCGTCTCCTGCTTCCTCCTCCCCCATGCCTCTCTCCTTCCATGCCTGCCTTCTTCCTCCGCGTGTCTGTCTCAGCACACCCCTCACCCAGACGCTTCGTGGCCCCAGACGGAGCTCCATCCACCGAAAGCCCCAGCGGCAATGTTCGCATGGCTCACACGCCCCCAAGGACGGCACACACCCCTTACACGCTTCGTGGCCCCGCAAGGAGCTCCACCGAAAGCCTCACCGGCAGGGTTCACATGGCATGGCCGCCGCAATTCGGCGCACCCCTCAGCCGCTTCGTGGCCACAGGGGGAGCTCCACCGAAGGCCAGGCGGCAGTGTTCGCATTGCGGACCCGCCCCCAAGTTCGGCTAATCCCTCACACGTTTCGTGGCCCCAGAAGGAGGTCCACCGAAGGCCCCAGCGGCAATGTTCGCATGGCGCACCCGCCCCCAATTCGGCACACCCTCCACAAGTGTCGTTGCCCCAGAAAGAGTTCCACCGAAGGCCACACCGGCAGGGTTCGCATGGCATATCACCCGCAATTCGGAACTCTCCTCACACATGTCATGGCCCCACGGGAATCTCCACCGAAGGCCACACCGGCAGCGCTCGCATGGCATAGTCGCCGCAGTTCGGCGCACCCCTCACGTGCTTCGTGGTCCCATGGGGGAGCTCCACCGAAGGCCCCAGCGGCAGGGTTCGCATTGCATACCCGCCCAAAAGTTCGGCACACCCCTCACTCGTTTGGTGGCACCATAGGGAGCTCTATCTTGTGAAGGCCCCAGCGGCAACTTGGCACACCCCTCATGCGCTTCGTGGTCCCACAGGGAGCTCCACCGAAGGCCACACCCGCAGTGATCGCATGGCGCTCCCGCCGCCAATTCCTTCACACGTGTCGTGGCCCCACGGGGAGGTCCACCGAAGGCCCCAGCGACAGGGTTCACATGGCATAGCCGCCGCAATTCGGCACAGCCCTCACACGGTTCGTGCAAGGGTAGCTCCACCGAAGGCCCAGCGGCAGGGTTCGCATGGCGCACCCGCCCTAAAATTCGGCTCATCCCTCACACGTTTCGTGGCCCCGTGAGGAACACGTTTCGTGGCCCCAGAGGGAGGTCCCTTTCCTTCGTCCCGCCTGCCTTGCGGTACCGACGCCTGCATGTGGTTGGGTCCGTCGCCAGGGCAATTTTCCCCACCGTCCAGCCCATTCCGGGACACCAATCACACGTTTCGTGGCCCCACAGGGAGACCCACCGAGGGCTCATGTGGCAGGGCGCGCATGCGTCCCCAAACCCATTTCGGCGCACCATTTACACGTTCCGTGGCTTCATAGGGAGCTCCACCGAGGGCTCCCGTGGCAGGGTCCGCTTGCGTCCCCCAGCCCCTTTCGGCGCACCCATCACACTTTTCGTGGCCCCAGGAGCTTCACCGAGGGCTCCTGTGGCAGGGCCCGCTTGCGCCCCCCAAAAGAATTCGGCGCAACCCTTACACGTTCCGTGGCCCGTATGGAGCTCCACCGACGGCTCCTGTGGCAAGGTCCACAAGCGTCCCCAAGCATATTCCGGCGCAGCCCTTACACGTTCTGTCGCCCCATAGAGAGCTCCACCGAGGGCTCTGGTGACAGGGTCCGCATGCGTCCCACAACTTATTTCGGCAAACCCCTCAACTGTTTCGTAGCCCCATAAGGAGCCGCACCGCGGGCTCCTGTAGTGAGGTCCGCTTGTGTCCCCCAATCCATACTTCGGCGCACCCCTCACACGTTTCGTGGCCGCCATCCGCATGTCCTGTGCCCCACTCTGCCCGCGACGCGCTGCCTAACTACGAGGAGGGGGTCGGACCCTGCGTGGTTCGCAGCTACATATGGTTGGGTCCTTCGCCAGGCTATTTTCTGCCCCACGATCGTAGCCGGTCCTGTCCCACTTTCGACAGCTTGGACGGAGACCGCACCCGCCTGGTGCCACCAGGTGGATGCGCATCCTCAGCGCGCACCGACGGGATTGGGACTGAGGAAACCCCAACCATCCTTGAGCAGGGACCGACCGCCCCGGCATTCCTATGGGCCTACCACGAAATGTTCTTAGAACCCTAAAACATTCTAAAAACAAAAACAAAATTCTTCTAACATAAAGCCGATGTGTTAAAGCAAGACAGTCCCAGCAAGACAGTTCCAGACAGTCCGCTATGGCACGCGTCCGCGGGTAGAAACAAAAGCAGTACAATGGGAAAGGGTAATAGGGATGGACCGGCTGTCAGAAGTAGCGCGAGCGCACCTAGCTTGTGATTTCCTCTCGCACTCCTCCTTGCACTGCTACCCCCTCCTCCCTGTCACCAAACATCTGGCGCTGCATGTTGTTCTATCCGTGGACCCCCGGACATCTGGACAACTTCCCTTGGACCGGCGTTTCATCCTGTCGTTTTTTTACTGTCCCGGGGCCCATTCAGGAGGGCCCCTGGAGGCCGAAAACGGCCCAAAGCTGGCCGCTCCAATCTTTCCGGAGCCTCGGATCTCTGGGTTCGGGGGCGCGCAAACATGGATTGCCGATCCATGGATTTGGCGCACGGCCGCCAAACCCATGGCTCAGGGGAGGTGCCCCCCCCAAAATGCGGCCGGTGCCGCCTCGCTCGGCGGCGGAAATCCGCGATTTCCCATGGGAAAGGGACCCGTCGCTAATCCACATTCTCTTGATCAATGTTTGCGATCGCCTGCTGGGTCCCTGTCTCCCTCCCTTGAGCAGGGACCGACCGTCCCAGCATTCCTATGGGCCTACCACGATATGTTCTTAGAACCGAAAAGCGCTCTAAGAACAACAGCAATGCTCTCCTAACAGAAAACCGACGTGTCAAAACAAAAGACAGCCCCAGCCAGAAGCGTCCCAAGAACATCCTGTGGAAAACCACAGAGAAGGCTCTTGTGATATTGCTCGACAAGCCCATGTAGGCACGCCAGAACGCTTCGCCACTGCTTGACATCCCGGCCGTCGCTGGGCGAGCGGGCGACGCGAGCCACCCGCACGCGCGCGCGCTGGCAAGGCCCGGGAGGAGGGAGGAGGAGGAGGAGGAGGAGGAGGAGAGAGGAAGAGGAGGAGGAGGAGGAGGAGAAGGAGGGAGGAGGGCGGAGGAAGAGGAGAAGGAGGGAGGAGGGCGGAGGAAGAGGAAGGGAGGGAGGAGGAGGAGGAGGAGGAGGAAGAGGAGGGAGGAAGAAGGGGAGGAGGAGGAGGAGGGAGGGGGGAGGAGCCCCCACAGGACTCCCTGCGGCTACACGCCCGGAAGGGCCCCCGGCCCCCGGTGCCCGAGGCTGCCTGGGCGCTCCCACCTCGCCCACCCTCGGCGGTCCTGGCCGCCCTCCTCCCTCCGCCCCCTCCTCCTCCTCCTCCTCCTCCTCCTCCTCCTCCTCCTCCCCTTGTCCTCCTCCTCCTCCTCCTCCTCCTCCTCCTTCTTCTTCTTCTGCCTCAGCCCAAATCCCTGGTGGGAGGGATGGCCGCCCTCTCAGTACTCGTTGGACAAAACACTCCGCCAAAACCTGCTCAATGAGTCCGTGCATGATTCCAGAGCAAGCAATTCTGCAGTAAAGGAAGACACTGGCGTTGATAAGAAAATACCTCGTCTTGCCAGTAGAACACATTCACCGTCAATTTCAGCTTCGAACAACCACGCAGCAGCCGAGCATTGATCTTTCCTTGTGCCGCCGTCGAAATGCATGACGAAATTTGCGTCTCGAACGTCCCGTTCTGGTGGGAAGATATCGTGCCAAGAACGCTGTGTCCATGGTGTAGTTCGCAAGGTGGTCCGCCTTGCGGTTATAACACCGACGACGCCAAACAACAGGATCTTGATGTAGAGCTGGCGGTGACAAGCCGGTTTCCATCAACCATGCGATATCCCGGGATAGTCTTTGGAACACTGGCTCAAGCGTCGGATTCGCGAGGGGAGACCGGCCCATCGCCACTTCGACCAAAGGCTGACAATCGGAAACACAAACAAAGCGCTTTCCCTGACCACTCCATCTGAAAGGTCTGCTTTCGCACCCAAGTTCTGCGTGAGACTCCGGGCAATTGTCCAACGTGTGTTGGGTCTTCTTGCCGTGTCCGTTTCTGCCAGCCCGCGCCACGACGTTTCCCACTTGCTCCGGCACGCCGGGGGTCCAGCAACATAAGGGTAGCCCATGCCGCTCGCAAGGAATGCGCGCAAATTCCCAGAAATGAGAAAGCCACTCTCTCTTGCTAGAATAGAACAGGCGCTCCGCCGATCAGCTCTCCAATTCACACCGAAAGCTTCACAGAAAATGTCCTCCCAGTGTGTGAAAGTGCCAGCAAACGCATGTAACATGTGTTCTCGCCTGCGTCTCGTGTACTCCCCGCGGTTCTTGAAATACTCCCACCAACTTCTATCTCGAAATGTCCTGCTCTTGCTCAAAAAATTAATGCCTCCGACGGTGGGGTACGACAACTCCCGCCACGCGTGCGTGTAGACGGCCTTCAGCACACGTATATGCAACGGTTGTTTCCGAAACTTCTGGAACAGCTGCTGTATCCAACCCGATGTACGCGAATTGTATGTCATCGGGGTGTCGTCTGGTCTCCGGCGCCACCCAAAGATCTTTCGCAGAAAGCTCCATTCCCATGTCTTCAGTCGCGTCAAGATTGCTTTGTCCAACTGCCAAGAACAGGATCCAAACATCGCCGACGTAGTAGGTCCCCGACACCAAGCCTGGAGTTTTGCTTTGGCTGGCGCTGGGCCCATGAAGGCCTGAAAGTGCTTCCAATACAAACCTTCAGCTTTGCACAATCTGTGTTCCAAAGCTTCCGCTGTGCGACCGTCCGCTGATAGCCGAACGCCCAACGCCTGCATCGAAGCCACCCTCTTGAAGACCAGCGGCTCCGGAACAAAGACGCACATGTCATCCCAGTCCGAATCTTTGGACGGGCCGCATCCCATAACCTCCAAA